CGAGCTATTTTCATCCTGTGGCTTTTTGCAGGGGTAGATATTGGAATCATTAACATCAGAAAGAGGCCCCAAAGTGGGAAGATCAGGGTAAAATTTTGATTCAGCTGCAGGACTACACACACACACAGAGCTCTTCTCTTGCACTCAGCTCTTGCAACCTCTTAAATCTCTTAGTAGGCACAAACTGATGGGAAGATGCACCTTCTGCCTCGTGCCTGGAGGGCAATTCCAGCAGCACTCCCTTCCCCTGGGAATGAATAATGCCACGGTGTGGGTTGCCAGGCTCCTTCTGTGTACTTCATACATGTGCTTTTCACTGTGAACCCGCAGATCTACTTCTCCATGCCAACACTGACTAAATTACCCTTATCCTAAACCACCGCGGGAGTGAGTAACCAGCCCAGAGCAGCATATTCCACAGGTGGACTAAATGGTTGCATGTATAAGATATACTTCTTCTTCTACACTTGAATGTGTAGACAATACAGACAATACAATACCTCCTATTAAGACATGAGAGAGAAGACTGGGATCAAAGGCCCCCAGGCCTATCAACTAAACAAGGTGTTTAAATGAAAAAGCCTGTTTAAGAGCAAACTGCAAGAGGACCACAGCACTGAGATTTTAAAGTTACTGAAGTTTGGACAAACGTGCTAGAGTGAGCTTTTCTATTTTGGTTTTGCCCAGTTGTAAGAAATCATTATATTGTTAAGTCATTGCAGTACTCAAAGAACGCAGTTTTGCAGAACAGTTGTTAGAAGAGCCTGAAAAACCCATTTGTGAGATCTCAATTAAACCATCTTTATTTAGGAATCCCTGAAATTCTCTAGCATGTAACTCCCAGAGGCCCGGCTTAATTAGAAAATTGATCATGGGAAAACTTCTTAAAATGTAGGCTCCTAATCATAGCCTTCCTGTTATCATCTTTTGCCAAAGATCCATTGCTCACAGGGAGTTGTTTCTTCTTCCCCCTTTAGCCCTGTATTATTCCACTCGCAATATTTTTAACCTGTAAATAATTACAGAGAGTAAAGGTAACTTAAATGCACTGTAACAGAAGATAGTAAGAACAATTTGATGAGAGGCAGAAAATACAGTAAAAGTGAAAGCCGTTGTACAACCGCACGGAGATGACACACCCGTATCCACACACGCTGCTGAAAGATACTAATTATGCCTCTGGCAAAGGGCATATAGGCTCCTTCAAAGAAGCTATTTAAAGATAAGAACGCTGCAGATAAACACTTCAGAGATATCTGTGCTATTCCCTTCCTTCTTGTGTCGGAAATTCTAGGTCACAATTTTAAAATAAAAAAAAAATAAAAAAAAAAATAATAGAAAGCAGGGAAGCCTTGTCAAGTCTGGTCAGTGAGATGTATTCCAGGGTGCTCAGATATTCATCAACTGTTACAGCTTTTTCATTCTGCTCCGCTTACCTTTAAAGAAGTAATTAGTACATTGTATTATCAAATCAAGGGTTCAAAAAACAAACTAATTAAAAATACGTCTAAAGCCCCTAGCATTACGGATAATGAAACCAAGCAGGTCATCTTGGTTAAATTATCTCCCTTTGAAATTACAGGATGCTAAAAAATAAATAAATGAAGAAAAGTTATTTGAATCATTAGATTTTTTGAAACATAGGAGAAGGCTAGGTATATGGGAATCCTTTTCCTAAATATAAGACCTTACACACATCAAAGGTCTTTCCTCTACATCATCACATGATAGTACTGCTCCATCACTCACAGAATTCAGCTGCTGCCGCTTAAAATACCCACCCCCCTAGAATACTGAAGAGTGAACTTCTAGTGGTGACCTGGATTTTAAAATTTCTCTGTTTAAAAATAGAAAATGAAAGTGCACATAGACATGGTGCTGCAAATTTACACCATGCTTCTGCCACTGTCACTCGGTGCAGTGGGACAAGGACAGAGACATGACCACAGAGCTGTTTTCACACCAGTCCTGGAGAAGACTCCCTTGCTGAAGAAAAGCTTTGACCATGAATACAGGGACTGTATTATCAGAGCATTTTGAAGGACTAGGATCTAGGAGAGACCCAACTCTAAAAAAAATAAATAAAAAAAAAAAAAAACCACGAACCCACAAACCAAACCACAAACAAATACACACACACAAACATGGGGATTTACTGTCCTGGATCATATGGCTACTATGCTTACTACTAAATGACTTTCAAAGTTCTGTGCTTTTATTTTCCATGTAATTGTGTGTCACATTTCATTATGAAAGTGCAAATTGCCAGGGCTGGACAGACATATCTGGACAGAAATCAGAAAAACCATGTCCCACCATGCAAGCAATTTTGAGTCCCTCTACACTTCAATAAATAATAGCACAGAGGTTCAAAACTAAAACAAACCCCTTCCAAAAAAGTCACCAGTCTTCCCTGCGCAGGGTTTAAGTAAGCTGCTGGCTCTTCCCTCTCCAGGCTCACTGAGTACCCACCAGAAGAGCAGGACCAAACTACACCTGTCAGTGCCTTGGAAGACCACTTGTGGGACCTTTCTGGAGCTGGATGTACCAGCATGCTGCTACATGTACTCCCTGCAAGCATATTAAGAACCAGCTTCTGCCTCCTTTTTTCCAATGGGCACATCAAAAGAGACTGCCACCACCTGGAGCTAAACCACCTGAGGGACCGAACGGGCACAATCTCAGGCAGCCAGGGCCTCCTGAAGGACACAGCAGTTCAAACGCCGAAGTCAGAACCATGATAATAGCAATGTCAACAACCCCACTCCCTCCCCCTCCAAGCCACAGCTGCCCGCCTGCTCCTCCACAGAAAAGCATCCAGGTAGCAGATGCACAAGAAGATTCTCCCCCACCCACCCCCAATTTTTACTGTCTCTTCTCAGGCTTTATACAGGGGTGATGGAGCAATAAGCTCGTGGAGGTGCTGAAACAGAAAGCTGAGAGCATCCCCTTTCTGGTTTTCTTCAGCCTGTTTAAGCAGACCAAGACCATGCCGTGTGTGGCACTCAGAGCAGATTTTCCCTTGTGGTTTTTAATATAATTGTATCTTGCCGTCTGAATGCACGTGTTGTCTGAAATATATGAGTACTCCTGCATACTGAAGAAATTAGGAATGAATTGCAAGTTCTTAATTGACAGTACAAAACATCAATTATTCTACAGATGAATAACAAAGAAAATTACAGGTGCAAGAGCTAAACAGCCACTGATTAAAGTAAAAAAAAAAAAAACCCACACAACCAAACCTTCTGAATGACGCACTGGAATAGGACAAAAGTACCCATGCTTCCTATTTGCATTGTTAAGGCAGAATGCTAAGAGACAGTAGGAAATAAAAATGGAGATAAGTCACATCCCCACACAGGTTGCCTTTCTTTGAGTGCAAGCGCCTTCAAAGCTATAAATAACACATGCTTAGTTAGCAAGTAGTGGAAACAAGTGTGTGAATGCAGCCATGTGTGCTCACACACATACACACACACCCCCCCACCATCTGAATTTTCCCACCAACAACTGTGGCAGTTGGCCCAGATCACAGCAGTGACATGCTGCCAACAGACTGATCAACCTCACAGCAGACTAAATTAGAAATACATTTCCACAGATTAAATTTCAGAGGGCTGTGATGCCACTTTAAACTCCATTAGATTCTGCTCCTCTCAATCCTTTAAACAAACACAAAAGCTAGCAAACCAACCCACTCCATCCCCTCCACCCACCCACTTTACCAGAAGTCCCAGCGGGATGGAGGCTCCATATTGGACCAGAGTCAAGACAGATGTATTAGCAACCAGTCTAAAGCTACCACTAGCCTAAAATCTCACAGAAGGGAAGAACGAAGAAATCAAACCATGCTGGTTTGATTAAACTATTAAGGTGAGAAAGCCTCAGCAGAAAGCTACGGGTGGTGTTGACCAGTGCTGCTCGTAGATGCAATGGAGACCTCAGAACTGAAAAGGGGAACTCAAACACAAGCTTTGAAGGATTCAATCCACTAGGTAAGACTTTTGCAGACAAGCCCTATCTGTAACAAATGCACATCCTTTCAGCAGGTAATGGGACAAAACAACAGCAAGAAGCACTGTTCCAGCACATCAAGGATGGAGCAGTGACCACCTAAGGGGCTGGGGGGGCACCTGCCAAAGGAGAAACATACCACAAGAGCCAATACGATACTTGGGAGATAGAACTGAAAAACGCTGTCTTCAGTACGTGATTTGGGACACAAGGCCATGGAAAGGCCCAAGAAAAATGACCACTCAGGTAAGGTCTCCTTTAGCTTAATCTGGACAGTCAGCTCTATCTCACGCTAAGGTCCCCAAGTCTGACACACAGGATCACAGACACGCACCAGTGATCCCACACACACAACATACAGCTCCAGCCAGGCTCAGAGACAATTACTGTCTCTGTTACTGTGAGACAATTCAGGTCTCTTGCCTTACAACTTCAGATGCCTCATCTGCACTTGGGTTGCAGAGTGGAGGAGCTCACCTGTTCTAATTATGACTATGGGAACAATCCGGCTCCTGAGGCAGCTAAGAAAAACGGCAACCCCTCCACCGTCAGATGAAAAGCCTCACTCAGATTGAACAATAAAGGCCAGTGAGTAGGCAGAGAAGGGGAATTTCCAACCAGATTTCTCCTCTTGCAGGAACAAGTACTTAGGCAAGTTAAGCACTTCTTAAGTTTATAGTCAGACAAAACAAAGGAGGATGGGGAGGACTTAGGAGAGCTAGACAAAAACCCATACAAGGATAACAGAGTGCTAGGCATAAAAGAAATTTCCTTTTGCACTATTACCGGCCTCATTTTATAGTCTTTACAGCCATGAACTCAAATGCTCCTGCTGCAGCTACAGTCAAATTGCTCAGAGCTGAAACGCAAGCAATATATTCAAGTGTAGCACCAGTACATTTGTCTAGCTACTACTCGGTGTGCGGTGCTACGGCTCGTTCTGTGAATGAGACTTTCCCCCTAGGCTGCTGCGAGACTCCTACCTCGAAGACAGAGGAAAGTGAGAAAATCTTCTGTCTTGGGCTTCCTTTTGGAGAGGTCAGAAATCTGAGTGGCGGGAGGGGGTAACAACGGCTCCACTATCTTTATTGGAGTTGTGCTGGGACTGTTTGGCTGGGACTGAGCAAACTTCCTTTGTGCTTGCAGCCTTGGCCTGTGGAAACAAAAGCATATCAGAAGCATGTTAGGCAGAACTTGCAAGAGAGACATCAGAACATAAAAATTCACTATAAAAAAAAAAAAGCCAACAACAAAAAAAGACAGACCCAAATCCATCTCCCACCAATATCATACCCCTACCTGAGTCAATTGCAAAGACAGTATTTTATTTGCTTTACCCTTTGGTATCTTCTGCAATAATTTGGAAAACCAGAAAGGGAACATCTTGACTATAAAATCTGTGACTACTGTTTCATATGTTCCGAGTATTTCCTGCACACCATACAATTACAGTTTACCATTCACTTATTTGGAAACTAAATCTGTATTTTGCACCATGAAAATGTCTTTTTTTTTTTAAGTGCTAGCATTCTTTGCTTCTTGTTTTTAATTAATTTACAAATTAGGTTTATTTTAGCCCCATAAAAGTTTTAATTTATTCCAATCTGCTAGAATCTTATTTATATGGTGAAATATATATTAATAGATAAGGTATCTATGTTAGTGCTCAGTTCTACAAAAAGAAATCAAAACCTTTAGGGAAAGATAATTTTGAAATGGAAGATATCAGGTAAAATTGGCCTTTCCCTTTGGCCACAGCCTAGAAGACAGTAAGCAAGGAGGTCTGGGGTGGGGGTTAAGTAGCATTTGTGACCAATTTGTAAGAATGAAGGATGTGCATGGAGCAAATTTGTCACAGTCCTGGTACTGGGCTATGGACTAACACTCTCTGACAAGTTTTAGAGCATGCCTGGGTACGGCTGTAGGAAATGAACAGGATGCAGGTGGTTTTGGCAGTCAGGCTGCAAATTATTTCAAGCCTATCTGAAGGCTCTGATTAACTGCTAGGTGGCAATGAATATGATTTTCTTTAATACGCCTAGAACGCAAATTGGTATTAGGGAAAGCGCTTTGGGGCAGGACAGATACCCGGAGGGGGTCTCACTGGGAACCTGACTCAGCTCAGCATTTAAGAACATGCTAATTTCTCACTTAAGCAACTGGGATTCTAATTATGATCTTTATTATAGCTTCAAAAAGGAGAGAAGCTACTGAAAGAACTTAAAATCTCATTGAGAAAGGATGCAATTTTATGTCATTTTCTTCCCTAATAGCAGAGTATTTACATAATGTCAAACTGAAACACGAATCAGTAACACTGAAGGAAAAGCCAAGTCTTGTCACTCCACAGCAGGCTTGACTGTTATGACTTCAGGAAAGCACAGTTATCGTTCAGTGTGGATGAAACACATAATTGGCAAACCTCTTCATTTGCATGGATATTAAACTGAAATAGTTGGGTAAGAAGAGGTTTGTTACTGTGTTTTAAGCTTCCACAATTTTGTGGCTAAAATAGAAAAAAAAAAAATTGAAGATCCCAGCAGTGTTTGTATACATAGATACATGCCTCCTAATGACAACAGAGAACAAAAGTAGCATTAGCGATTTTCTCCCTAAATTCCAGATAAAATTGTCCCATGTCCTCACCATCCAACTCCTACCCTCCCAAACAACAAAAACCACCAGCCATTCTTGCCGCTTATTTTCATCTCCTTAATGGCAAATATAGCATGGTGTTTATCATTTTCTTTTATCACGGTGCTTCTAATTCCTGAACTGGAACTAAAAGACGATTGAACACATATATTCCCTCATATGTATGAACAATTATCTTTCCAGAATGAAGGTGTTGTATAGATCTGCCTGTATATTCCCAAAATTACTCAGATAGCCTTGCAAAGCTCTATTCCTTCAAGCAGACAGAGGACTCCAGCACAGGATGAATGTAATTTCAATTTCAACCGACTACATTTCTATAACCAAAACCACACATGAGGCCAGAGAAAAGTGCTTTGTGTTGGCTTTTGTTCTGCACAAAACATACGCTCTCTCACCAAAAACCAGACTATAAAGGTTAGCAAGCAACCCTGCCTGCTGCTCTCAGCTGCACAGCGATTTTTCCCCATCTATGTGCTTCCTCAGCTTGGCTGTTAGAAACATACACTATCCACTCACTGCATCTCTGAAACTACCTACTCAAATCTCATGTGATCAAAGATAAGCATCGAGGAGGACTTCACAACCACCACCACCCCAAAAAGTAAAGGTTAAGCCTGTTTCATGGTTCAAAATTAACCCTTTGCAGCAAGGATCAGCCAGGGCTGTTTGCAGCATCCCTATTATCGGTCCCTAGAGCATTGAAAGAGGATTAGGGAATGACTTGAAGTTCAGCATAGACATGAAATGAATTAGGGAATTGAAAGTACTTTTGTTTCAGTCTGTCTTTGAAAATACACTCTCTGCTAGCCATCCTTTCCCAGTACAAATGATTCCCCACTCGCTTTGCTTGCCCGCTTCCTGCACGGCACACAGCCTGGCTTGGCAGTATCACTGGCTCTTCACAACCCATCACTCTACCGCAAAGCCCTTCATTTCTGTGAGGACAGCAAAAACGCCAAACCTTCCCTCCACCCAGCTTCAGGCTATGACTGTGAACTTTTGCCACTTCCTGGGGCGACTGCGGAGACTTGCTGCTGTATCTCAGATGTGTCTGAGATGCTTCTCCTCTCACACCTCTGTAGATGTTTACTGTACTTTCTGCTGCTTGGTTTGAACTCATCAGCACCACAAAAACAGGCCTGCTCCTTATGAAATACCCATTTTTTATTAAAAACCTGAGCAGTTACAGGCGTAAGCATCACCAATTCTATTTATGAACGCTAGTGAATGAAGGCACCCTTTTGTGAGTGCAGCATCCTTTAGGTTTCTGCAACAACTACTGTTCTTTGCATGGAGAAGCATGTGCTCCACAGGCTTCTATCTGCGTCAATGCCTGAGGATGTACAGAGCGAGCCATGAGCAAGAAACAAGCTATTCTGTAGCTATAACACGTTAAGATGAGGCACCCAGGTTAGGAAACAAAAGCCAAACTTTTAAGCAGCCTTTGGTCCAGATTTGTGTAAAGATGACCAGTTTCAAAGGTGGGCCAGCAAAGGAAAAAAATACTCATTTCAAAACGTGAGCAACAACTTAAAACTGTTTCCTTGTGAAGGAGTGTATACATCTTAATAACCTCATACGTCCCCATGAAAACCTCTAGAAGCATAAAACCAATTATTTCACGTACGGTTTCATATTACACTTAATCCAATATAAGTGTGAAGCTGCTGCCAAAAAAGGAGGCTACATCAGATCAAGCGTAGCAGCCCATTGTACTCACTTACGCACCACTTCTGAGCAAGGCAGAATAGGTAAGGAAGTGATAAAAGTGCTCAGAAAAACCTTTTGTGTGTAATAAACACATAACACCACCAGTGTGGCTTTGCTCTTTGCTTGTTAATGCAACGATTTCTGCTGGAATGACGTATTTAGCATGCATTTGGCAACAGCAGATTGGCATGAGTGGCAAAAAGAACAACAAAAATCCTGTTTGCATCCTCAAAATAAACTGCTCGCTCTGTCCTCATCAAAAGGGTATACCCTACGTAAGGCTTGCAAATACACAAACAGAAAAAACTTTGCAAGAAGGAAAAGAATGAGGGAAGAACTCAAAATAATACCACATCTAAACATCATGCAAACACCCAACAGCAGCCAGAAATATCCAGACTATTTAAAAATAAGTAGTAAGTCCCCTTCTCTCAACAGAATGTTGTTTTCCTTCTACTGCTTTTGAGAGATTTTAAACACCTATGACACGAAGTCCAAAAAAGCCTCAGCTTAAGGAAGCCTCACCTCCTTTTGGTATGCTTCTCATCTACTGAACTGGCTGTTTAGGTCCAAGAGAGCGCATTACATGCCAGAGACTAAAACTCCAATAAAAAATATCCCAAGTGTACAAACTCAGACTAGGCTGGAAAACATCTCTCTCCAACACAAAATACACTTTTTGAAGCTTTTCTAGACTGGAATTTATTTTTAGCTGAATATTTTAAGCAAATTGTGTTCTTTAGAATCAAAACACTACAGTCTGCATTAGCTAAAAATACTTCAGAAATGTCTTTTAAAATAGAATAACCCAATGCCATTCCTTCAGCTTACAGAAAAAGAACATGTTTAGGAAGAAAACACATACTACACAAAGGTGGTCTTTTCTTTGCAAAGCAAAGCTCAGGCTAGTAATACCAGTCTGTGTTAAATTTAGTAAACGTTAATACTCTAGATAACAGCACATGCTGTGTTAGCTACAAACTAAGTATTAAATTATCAGTATGCAAGATTTAGTTGTACATCAGTACAAAAATCTATTTTAATTTTATTACTCCATAACTCCTAAGTGAAAGCAAAGCATAAGTACTATAAAACATACACAAAGAACAATATGCACAATTTAATTGATAATATATATGTATTCATACTAATCTATTTATAATAAATTCTGGGGTTGAGAGGCTGTCCTCATATCTAAGCATCTCAACTGGGAAGAGACTTGCAAAACAATCTATCTTTCTCAAACATTCTCTAATTTCCAGCGATCTGCAGGTTATCACAAAGCTTCCTGCTTGTTATACACTACAATATTTGCTTGCTGTTTGGTCCCACAACCTTTTGCTTACTCCTTGAACTTCACTATTGCTTTCATTGTTTCTTGCTTTTCTGTTGCCTGATGTTTGTCCTTCTTTTTTAACAGCCCCACTGGAGTTAGATTTCCTATATAGGAAACAGTAGCTTAGCTATCTGCTTGAGCGTCAGCGTTTCGTGCTTAATTCCCATTTTCCTTTTCAATGCAGTGTGTTTTTCACTTTCGGAGCTGCTAACAAGAAGCATGCAAGCTCAAATGAAGGAATCTATGCGTCTGTCTTTTAAGAGCAGCATCAGTATTTGGTTACTTTGCTTTCGTCACTTCTCCTGAGAAACTGCAATGCAAGTATTTGTAGATACTTACCTTTATCACATTAAAATCGCTACTACTAACTCGCGGCAATGAGCTGGTATTAGTTTTCACTAAACACGGTGTAGATAGTTAGGAATACAGACCTGCTTACTGCCTGATCC